AATGTTACATATCTGAGGTATTTTACCTCTATTACGCAAATACTAATAAGGTGATACAAGAATATAAATATACTATATTAAAAATAAATAAGATAATACATATATGAAATACTAATATAATAATAAAATAATAATAATAAAATATGTTATGATAAAAATATATATAAATATAAAAATAAAGAAACAGGGTCAACAACATCAACCTATGAAAATATTTGAAATATCTTCTAGAGAAAGCCAACTGACATCACGAAACTCACCAGATTTCGATTGTTTGTAGCAATCTGAATTCCATGAGGCTGGAACCTCTGGATGAGAGACAGCTACTACTCAAGAGATCAGAGATCAATGCAAACAGGCGACAGTATCTCTTTCTTCATCGAGAAAAAGAAGAAAAGAAGATGATAATTATGGTATTTTTTTTTTTTTTTTTTTTTTAATGTTCCAGCGAGGTCTTGCCTCAAATTTATTAATTAGAAAAAGAGAAAGTTTTTTACATTATATAAGGTTACATAATACAAAATACACAACTTATTCTAATATTTGTTAGAAAAGATGAGACTCGAACTAACTCATAAGAGACGGGCCCGCAACCTACCGCCTGACAAGTAAACTTGCCCTCAGCATGTTAAGACCTTGCTGAACCATCTATATTATATATTTCTGTCCATTTGACCCTTTCCTTAATAAATTTATAAAAAAATTGACTAACTATATTATTACATATATTTTTAATTATGTTTTTCTTGTTTTTTTCTATATCTGTGTTAGTATTACTAATGTTGGTATTACTATTATTCTTGCTAATATTTACATCTGCAACTTGACTACTGTTTGACGGGATTAGAACTTTTCATTTGTGTTTATTTCGTATGCCATTTTCTAGCTCCCATTTTTTTATTTCATTACAACGTCTTACCCATATATTTGTTCTTATATATTGTTTAAATTTTTCCATCACGTTTCTAATTATTTTACTTGTTCCTTCTTTGTTACCAACTGTAGAGTATACTACTTCTGTTAGGGAGTTTGGTACTAAACCAAACACTATATCAATAAACGAAAACACATCTCCGTCTCTTGTCATAGATTGTGTTTCAATCTTTAGTTCTTTTAGGTTATTTATTCTAGTTCTGATATTTTCATCAAGGTTTTGTGTTGATTCTTCAATAATATGCTCCCATAGTAAATCCGTAAATTTGTTTTTACATATTTCCAAATTTACCAGGTTTTGAGTGCATTTAAAAACATGATATTGATCTTCTTTTTCTATGTTGCAACGAGGACATTTATCACTTTTGTATATATTTGGAAATCGTTTTTTTAGCCTTTCTAGTGTGAGTAATTCATTGTTCATTAGTTTTATATTAAAGGATCTTTGTCGTGTGTCATTTAAGTTTGTGGTTTGTTTATCAATATAAGATAATGTTGTAGTTTGCCAAGACGATTCCCAGCAAATTTCCTTACTTTTATTGTCGAATACTGTTGTTGTATTTCTATTCAGTAATTTCCAACTAACCGATTGCTTGGTTGCACTCAGTTTCTTGGTAAATGTTCTCAAGGATTCTTCTATAGGCTGTGAGTTCCAGCAACTAACTGCATTAATTGATGCCAATGTTTGTAGATCTGGACTACAGTTTGGTTTGTTACGGCCTTCTTTTGCGAGTTTATCTGCCAAATCATTAAATTCTATTCCTGAATGTGCTTTTATTTTAATAAATTCTAATTTGATCTTTTGTATAAAAACGATTTCATTTATTGCTTTGAGCAATGTCCAATTTTTAATTTTTGTGCAGTTTTTCTTATCATTCTTCGTAATATTTGTATAAGCATCAATTGTTGCCTGGCTATCTGTGAAGATTTTAAGATTTGATTGTTTTGGTATCACGTAAACTGCAGTTAGTACAGCCATGATTTCAGCTCTAGTTGATGATATGAAGTCCTCAACTTTCCCATTAAATGTAAGTTTTGTATTGTTACCAGTAACTGTAACCCATCCACACCCTATTACTGGTTTTTGGTCTGTTCGTCGAAATTTGCTATTATTAGTGTTTTCTATTAGTGAACCATCTGTGTATATTTTGATTTCTTTGTTACTGGATAGTAGAGTTCGGATCTGGTCTAATTTATCTTGGATTTCATTGTCTGACCAAAAATTTGAATATTTATCATATATTTTTCCATGATTATTGGTAATATTATCGATGTTTATGTTTGGTAACAAGTGTGATGTGTTTGATCGAGCTGTTTGTTGTTTAGTTAATATATTATTTAACCCGTATTCGATTGCTCCCATTTCCGATTGTAAACGTAGTTTATTTTTCCTTTCGGGTGTTGCCCTACTGGAAACCTTGCTTTTAATTACATTAATGTTAACTGTTTGTGGAACTCCAACTTTGATTAAGCATACGCTCTTGTTTCTAAGATCATTTGTTAGGTTAGTATTTCCTTGTGCGCAGCCCTGGCATTTTTTAATTGGTGAGGTTTCTTCCCCATTGGTATTTCTTTCTCTGATATAATGTGTCAAGATTAATTCATGGTTATTTATTACTTTGCGTCTTTTTCCAATGATCACTCTTTGATTGTTGGGATTTTGAGTTGCCGCCCATTTTATTTCGTTACTTTGTTTGTCAATGTTTTGTTCACAAGTGTTATATCTGTCTCTCAATCTCTTTTTGGTTTCTTCGTCAGAGATTTGTCTTTCTGATAAATTTGATAAAAGTTTCTTTTCGATTAGTTTGAACCACCCTGGTTTAGGACCTCGTCTTTCATTTCCAGTTATGCCTTGCCAGTACAATAGACGGTTACCATTGTATGATGTTAATTGTTCTAAAAACATTATTTGTCGGGTTCTAAGGCTTTTCCTATATTGAAAATAACAATCATAATCATGAAGTATTTCTTCAATAGTTACGTTTCCCCCTTTTATTAACATACTTCCTACTATTTCTTTAGACATTTTAAATGTGATATTATTTACTTTGCAAATTTTCAGAATATCATTAATCAAGGACTGATTTCTCGGTGTATGAAAAATTTCTGTCGATTCTAAGATTGGTTCTTTCGACCAGAAAATATTTTGTAGGTGTTGTAGTCGTATTCGTGTAGAAAATCCCATAGCTCCTTTATCATTTAAACGGTTGAGGAGATTGTTACTATGCATTTGAAATTGTCTTTCCCATAAACTACAAACATTATATGCTTCTTTGGCATGTATTAATGCATTGGGTATTGTACGAGATAGTAGAGCTTTGTTTTTAATAACTGATATGAAGCGCGTTGTTATTTTAAGACATTCGTTCTCTGTTAAGGTCATATCGTTTAAGCTATATTCTAGTATGGGTATTACTACCATATTAAAAATATATATTGCTTGTTTGTCAGTTATAGGTTTACCTCTTAGTATATTTGCTAGGTAATCTGTTAATTTTTTAAGTCGTTCTCTTTGAAATTTTTTTGAGCCATTTTCAGTAACATAAACATCCAAAGATCTAACAGGAAAATCTTTTGCCACTGGTTTTAAAATTTCTGTTCCCATTTTCACCCCTTTTTCTCTGTTGGCTACTGTCGTATTGATTGCTATTAGATGCGATTTATTCTTGTTTATTGTTATGTCATTCATAATAAAGAATTCATCTGCTATTTCAAGAATTTGTTCCATTTGTTCTCTAGATGATGCGAACCAGTTTGTATCATCTACGTATGCTGCCACTGACATTTTTAATGCTAAGTTACTTTGTGTACCTAAGCGTAAATTGCTGATCCAATTCTCTTTCATTTTATAACCAAATCTGGACTCTGCAATTTTACTAATTAACGGGTCATAGAAGATTCTCCACAGAAGTGGTGATATTATGTCTCCTTGGTCTATTCCATCTCCAACTTTATAAGGTTCAGTGTTACCATGTGTAGTTAATACTATGTTTTCTCTGTTATGTGTCAATTTTTCAAAAATATTGATGAAACCAACAGGAATTTTGATTCTATGTAATGCTCGCAATAGGCAATTAGAGTTAACTGAGTCGAAAGCTTTGCTCATGTCCTGGAACATAATCCAAAGTTCTCTATTATTTGCCCTGGCATCCTCCATTATATTATTTATCACGTGAATAGGTTTTTGCGTATCATCCCCTGGTAAACCAGCATAATTATATTTTGATAGGATTTTATTATTATTAAAAATAGTTGATAATCTGTTGTTTAAGATCTTCATAAATATTTTTCGTCCTGCTTCAAGGAGTGTAATTGGCCTTGTTATATTAAGGTTATTTCCCCAGTCATTAGTTTTAGGTATGGGATATATATATCCTAGTTTCCAATCTCTTGGAATGTCGTTTAGTTTGATTGACATATTGATTATATTCCTCAAAGTTTCAATCCCATTTAATGGAAGGTGTTTGAACCACTCATACTGCAGGTTGGATTGCCCTGGCGCTTTGTTATTTGGTAGTGTGTTAATAGTTTGTTTCAATTCTTCTGTGTTTATTTCTCTTAACAATGGGAGATACCATTCTTCTTCAATCTCATCTCTTGGGTTATATGTTGTTTTCCACTTTTCCATGAGGTTTCCATTCGTGTTGCGTTTTCTAGTCCAACTACAGAAGTGGTTTTTTACTGCTTCCTTAATTTCTGTACTATCTGTTATAATTTCGATATTTCCCTCCTCATTTTCGTTAATTATGCGGTCCATAATAATCGATTTACGTTGTCTATCTAGAATACTATTAATCATTCTTTTTGGATTTTCTTTAAGATTTTCCCATCGTCGTTCGATTGCTTCTTGTATTTGTTTTAATGTTTCTTTCTTTTTTTCTGCCCTTGCAACACTTTGAAAATCAAGACTTGCAATTCTGAGAGCTTCGATTAAGTCTTCACGCGTGTCGTTCTTCTCTATAATTTTTTTTATTTTAAAATTAAGTATGGATAATTTATGTGTTTCTCTTTTGAAAATCACGTGATTTTTAATATATAACAAAGATTTGGCTCTTTCTTTTTTGACAAAGCGATAGATTTTATTGAGACTTTTTGCTTTTTTCATATTCTCCGCGACATTTCTGTTTATTTTTTTATTATGCTTTTTTTCCCGTTTTTTTGGTATTGCATGGTCAGCTCCCTCGATCATAATGTTTTTAAGAGTTTTCCATGTTTTCTCCATGGAATTTATTGACACCCCATATTTCCTTTCCCTTTCTTCTATTGTTGAGTTATTGATTTTTTCCTCTACGTATTTCGTAAATTTTAACCATTTTTCTTCGCACATTACTTTAGTATTATATTTAGGGCTGTTATTTATAATATTATTTTTCCTTTCACGAATTTGCCAATTTCTTCTAATTTTGAGGCCTACCAGCTTATGATCGCTTTCTGTTATTAAATTTAGATTATCAACATAACACGATTCCATTTTTCCTCCCCATTTTTCTGACATCCATATTGCATCGATGCGACTTTCAGCAGTTGAATTATCTCTTTGCCATGTGAAGCCACTAGATTCAGGGTGCATTGTTCTGTAACAGTCAATAAGTTCTCTGCTGGTCAAAAAAGGAAAAATTTTACTCTCTGGAATCTGCGATTGGCTATTATTGTTTCTGTCTATGTTTGATGACGGGACTGCGTTGAAGTCTCCCATTACAATTAATTTGTAGTTTTTTTGTTGTGCTTGTATAACCCAGTTTTTTATTTTTTCCATTACTTCTTTATTTTCACATTTTTTACTTGATAAATATATTTGTATTATCTGTACTGTGGTTTTTTTTGATAGTGCCATGTCCACTCTTATTGCTCTCCCTTGAAATTTTTGAATATTATATATGTATTTATTTATTTCTTTAGAAATTATTATTGCTACTCCTGTACCCATACCATCAGAAGACCAATGTATTCTATACTTTTTTCCTTCATCTATAAACCACTTTTCATTATTTTCTTTACAATTTGTTTCTGCGATACCCATGATATCTATCTTACTGTTTTTAATATAATTATATAAAAGTTCACATTTAATATAATCTCCAAATCCCCTTACATTGTGCGTAGCTACGCTTATTATTTTATTCTCTATATAGTTATTCTGATTGTTAAAGTTGTTATTATTGTTGTCTCCCTTTAAATTATTATAGCGGTTATTTGTTCTTTTATGTTGATTATTGTTTTTTTTATTATTGACATTATTATTATTACTGTTTAATTCCATCATAATTTATTAAAATTTAAAGTTAAAAGTTATTGTTGGTTATATATACCAATATTGCTTTCAGAAATTTTTGTTCCGGAGAAGGTCGATGTCGATCCTACTCTCGTTTCAATTGTTTCAATTCTATTTGTCATTTGTTGCATTGCGAGGATAATTGTATCTAACTTGTTATTTGTTTCATGTTTTTTATTTAATTTTGATTTATCGTTATTATTAGCATCATTATTATTTTCTGTAACTTCTTCATCTATCATTTCCTCATCCTCCTCCTGCTCAGATGTCCAATCTTGAATCTGTTCTTCTGTTGTATTCATCACGTGGTGTTCTAGGATTTCTAAACGTTCACAAAGTTCGTTCAATACTTGTTCGATTCTTTCTAATCTTTGGTCACTTGTAGTATCTAAGTTCACTTTTCTTATATTATTATTATTATTATTATTTTTGATTACATCCGCATATGTTTGTCCTCCAACCAATTTATTAATATTTTTAAAATATCTTGGGTTGTATCGTTTATAAATTGCACCAAATTTTTCTATTCTCTCTGCTGCTTTATTTTTGTATTCGTGGTCCTGAATTCTACGAAGGCAATTAGCGACAAAGTGATCCGTTTCATGACAACGATGGCATGTTTTTGTTTGGATGTTTACAATTCTAATATTGAGATCACCACCTTCCCATACTGCGTTACAAGCATTCTCACGAGCTTCTTCCTCTTGAAAGGAGATAATAGCTTCGCCTTTCTTCCTGTAGTTTCGTGTTCTTGGAAAGTAACAAGTTTTTGCTCCCAATTTTTCGATGTGTGGCCACAATTCTCTTGCTGTAATACCATTGGGCAAACCGATTACCCTTGCTGCATATTGACCACGTGATTTGAGATTATCAATTGTTTGATCTAAATGTGTTACTCTAAGAGAATCTTCTCCAATAATGATGCTCCAATTAGCAAGTAGCTTTTGTGCACTACTTTTTTCTTTAAAAATAATAACAGCTGATTGCCACATGTTATTTACTCTTAAAGAAATTCTTGTAATTTTTCCAAATTTCAATTCCAGTTCTTGTTTAATATCTTTATTTCTAAATCCTAAAGGTACGTCCCACAGTTTGACGCCGTGTTGCATTTCTTTGTCTGGATTACGTTTAAAAATTTCAGCCCTATGCATGTAAGTTGGCTTATTTGCATATCCGCCTACATCGCATATTTTTCCCTTTTTCATTTCTTCTTCATTGTCGTAATACGCTGCAATCATTTTCCTATTGTTGAATGATTCTGTTTGTATTTTGATTACTACAGACTGTTTTTTCAGGGTTAAACTAACATTCTCCAATTTTTCATTTAGATTTTTTCCCAAAATTTTATCAGCTATGATCTAAAGTTTGTATTTTTTCGCACCTAAGGAGTTGCGCCATCCAGTTTGATAATCATTTTCAGTTTCAAAGGATGTGATTGATTCTATTTCTTCTTGTTCATTTGTGTCGTCGTCGTTAGATAGTTCTTTTTCTTTACCTTTTCCTTTATTTTTATTCTTTACTACTTTCGTCCAACCAGTTGTATTATTGTTTTCTTGGTTTTCATTTAATTCTTCGTTTTCTCCATTTTCTTCCACTTCTGTCATTTCTTCAGTAGTTTGATCTTGGTTCGAGTCATTGTTATCATCTTTCAATAAAATTGTAACTTTAGGGATTGGTTTACTCTTCAATGTTTCTACTGTTTGTTTTACGTTTACTGCTGTATTTTCTGCATCGAGTTTTTTATTTAAAAATTTTTCTTTCTTGTTGATAGGATTGAATTTAAATTTGTTTTTATTTAGTAACGGATTAATATTAAGAGTCCTGGTGTAATTAACACCAGTTCTCCTGGGTCTTTCAAAGGGTTTATCGCCCATGTTAAGTTAACACGGTTGACTATTACTCAGGTTAAAATAAAACTAAGACTCTTTCGTTTAAAATTTTACTGCGGTTTTTGTTCAAAAATTGATAAACGGGAAAGAGTTTTTACAATAATTTTTTTATGATAATTATGGTATTTAAATTAAAAAATATATTAATTAAAGTATATTTGAATTAAATTATTTATTTTTATTTTAGATGATGGTCTGGTTTATACTTGTACGCAAAATTATTTTGGGACCCCGAAATTACAATTTTGGAGAAAAAAGTCGAAATAGTTTTTCATAGAAGACGAAATTATTTTACTTAAAACCCAAAATTTTTTGAC